TTTCCTTTCCAAGCCCAGACTTGAAGATTCTGCATTTCATGGCCATCTAAAAGTGTGGAAGAAATGTCACCATCCCAAGTAAAGGGATTTGTTGGAGAGCAAAGAAGAAAGTGGAATTTCCAAATATTCTTTCAGTTCTAATTTAAGTTTGCACATAATGAGCAACTAATATGGATCTAAACTTTATTGATTTATTTATTTATTTTTTAAAGAAGCAGCTGCAAGTCATCTTTTTGTCACAGGACCAAAGTTCACTAAAGTTGTCACTAACAACACATTCTCCTGCAACTAAGTATTTGCAACCAAACCTGTTGTAACCTATTCTCAACAACATGCTACAACAAGTCTTACTGGAACTAAGGAGCCCCAAGGAAGGATAAAGTCAAAGCACCTTTCTAAGACTTTTCATTTGATACAAGATGACTAAATACTCACTATTCCACTTCCATTAAGAAAAAAAATTATAAAAAAAAAAATCAAAGTTAAGCAAGCATAGGTTATAAAGCCCAGTTGGCTACAAGAGTGGAATTCAGACTCACTAGCCATAGCTTAGAAATTATGTTTCAGTGTCTTGGGAAGCATATTGACAACAGTGCTACAAGCCAATTCATAACACTAGAAGTAACACTGAGGGGTAAATACACGATAATGAGGTCCAGTCTAACCTGTTTGCTTAAACAGCTGGTCAAATACCCACAGGAAAGAAAGAAAGGGAAGAAAGAAAGATTTAAATATAGTCTTTTCCACTAACATAGCAACATGTTACAAAATAATCACTAAATATGTTGGATTCTAAAAGAAGCTGTTTATTACATGAAGACAAGCTTAAACTACAAGGCATGTCACTAGATGTGAAATTAGATATGCCTTTGCTCACTTTAATCTTTATGACCCTAAATACTACCTTGATTAGCCTAATTTTCTTAGTTAAATTTTGCAATAATCTCAATATGATCTATTCCAGTATTATATAATTCTTCCTACTCCAACTATTTTTTTTCCAGAACATGAGAATAAGCAGCACCATATTTTCCTCCAACAAAACTGAATAGTATAGGAATTGGTCACAATATCTATGAGCGCTCAAAAAACAAGCTAATTACTGTACTCTAGCAAGGAAGTTGTATAATCCAGCAATTGAAGGAGTAGTTATTCCAATTATTTTGCATCCAGCCAATGCACTAAATTTGATGCTCTATCTTCACATCAGTACCGGCACAAGAGCGAGAGTTGGTTCATGGTTTTCACCACATTTATACACAACCTCAGGCGTATATCAGGGATGCAGTCTTACCCTGGCACTACTCTGTCAAGCTACTGTGTGGATTTCAGGACTTGCCACTCCAAATATCAGAATCAAGGTTGGTCAAGGCAAGTTTATAGCCAAGACTTAGCCAAGACTATGCCAACGACGCTACCTTGCTTTAGAGAAGTCAGAATTTCAGTCCCACTTTCCAAGGTCTCCAAGACACCACCCACACTATGGGGTTGAACATCTCATGGCAGAAGACCAAGATCTAGAACGTGGGGGCTAGGCCACTAGAACTCCAAATGCAGGGGGAGCCAAGTACTGTGGAGAACATGGAGTAGTTCTTCTACCTAGGCTGTAGAGTTCAAATGGTCACAAACCAGACATTTTTTTGATGAAGAGGCCTTGCAACCTCCTGCATAAAGTCCTGGTCTTGCATATGGATGCAAAAACATCTTTGCGCTCAGACAAAGTTCAGGATATATCAAACTAGTGTACTACATGTGCTGCTATATGGGTCAGAAACCTGGACCCTCTTACTTGGAGTGGCAAGAGGCATTCCATATGTGCTGCCAGTGCCAAATCCTAAGAATGTAGTGGTTTGACTTTGTGTGAATGTCAATCTCAGATCTGGCATTCTTTTAGCTGCCCATTATATTGAAAAGCGACATTGCGTACTCTTCAGTCATGTCTCCAGGATGGACAAACATCACAGCACACTGTGCTCCCAAACTCTCCAACACGTGAAGAGGAGCAAGCCCTGGCCCTACCTGGTACCACCCACAGGACTGCCCCACAGATTCATGGATTTGCAGGACTGAGCCAGATTTGGGTACTTCACTACACAAATGCCTGGTGTGACACCATTCACTGTGGTCACTCTGGATGGTGCTACAGTCCTTAGTAGACCATGCATGTTTGATGAATGCTCTTCAACGTATTCCCATTCTCCAATATATACCGCCTTTTCAAACAAAGTTTTTGATTCATCTATACCACAATCTTATAGCCCTGTTTCTACACATCCCAGTTGTGGTAAGTTTGGAGAGGGAGGAAGAAGAGAAAAACCTTCTGTCACTTCATGTTTGCCTCATTTTTAATCCTGACCTTTTATTTTGACTAGAGATGCAATTATCTTGCCAGGTATTAAGGTAACATGATAGGAATCAAGGCTCAAGATTAAATGGTCCCTTCTAAGAGCTGTATAAAGCATGTACTGAACATCACCCTACACACACAATGGCAAGGTCATTCTCCCTCACACCGCAGATTTTCTTTATTTCCCTAAATACCCTACACCAAAAGAAAAAGGAGCCAGATGAAACTAGAATCATGCCAGCAGAGATGAGTGTTTCAATTGTATCAGTGTGCCCCATGTTTCCTAAGGCACTCTCATTCACATCAGTAATGACACTCTATATACAACTCCACTTATGTACCAAATACTTAATTTGCAATACATAGTCCATGTTTGGAATGACCAAGTTTGGTCATTACTCCAAACATTCATAGAATTTTCAAGTGCTGATTTTTAAACATAAATCAGTCTTTAAGAGATCTTTTAACTCTAAAGCGTTCAGATGGCAAGTGCCAAAACAGTTTAAAGTAACATACAAGCAGTGAGTGGGACTCAATTAGGCATACAAGAAAAGCATTTCAGGATAAACTGTGCTAGAATTATTTGTTTGGTGACTGTGAAAGAGTGAAAGTCATAATAAAACAAATACAAATCAAAACTGGCCTTAACTACTTCGCTTTTAGAGGTTTCCAAATGTCCCTCCTCTTAGGAAAGAATTCTTTTCTGTGTCATCAGTAAGGGGCGGAGCCAGGAGTAGCAACTACCTATAAAAATTGATGAAGGCAAGGCCCTGGATGCTAATATCTCTAACAGCAGCAGAATGCAGATGAGCTATGGCAAGGGATGGAGAAGTGAGAAGAAGCACTTGGTGAGGGTGGGGTAGCAGCCCAAGACTTCTGGTAGCAGCGTGACTAAAGGAGATTCATCCCCTCCCGTTACATCACCGGGAAGTTGCTCCTGGGGAACAAGAAAGGCATTTACTAAGAAGGTCTTCTTTTTCCCTGAAGTTCTCTGAGAAATGTTTCACAGCATCCCACTGATGTGGGAAAGCCCAATAGCCACAGAACTCATTCCTGCTTCAAGAGAGAGAGTAACTATCCATTAGTTTGGAATACAGTTCATCACACAGCAACTACTCAAACTGGAGTCATTTGTGCAATTTCCGTTTTGCCATGCAAATATTCCAACACAAATTTTGTTTTTAAAAAAGCAAGACCTATATCTAGTCTCCACACTGCATAATGCCAAGTGTAAACTTCAAGAGCTAAAATAAAGAAACTGCTTCTTCTAGTTACCTGCTAACCTCTTATTCAGTTCTGGGCCAAGATTTTCAAAAACAGGAACCTAATTTTAGGCCCTTCCATCCTGATTTAGGCTCCTAAATCAGTGGAGGCAATTCTCAGTATTACTGAGGAAACCACCATATAGTATCTCCCACCTGACTTCCTTGGCTCTACGCCCAGCATCAGAAACATTTAAAATAATACTATGCCAAGTAATTTAGGCCTAAAATAAAGGTTTTTCAATAAACAAAAACAAAAAAAGGAAAGTTATAAAATCCAACGTAAATTGAAATGCCATATTTTGGGGGTTCTTTCCATTTTTTTGAGAATGGAAGATTAACAAAACATTGTGTTAGTGCAGGACAAGCTGAAAGCAGAACTGACCAGACTAGTTTCCCTACCCAAATTCAATAGACTGCAAAGAGTCATCCTTTTTCCTTAGCTAAACAATATCTCTTCAGAATGTCAAGATTCCCCTATTTATTTTAAACCTATTACAGACTACGCATGGAGTTGGAAAACTGTAGGTATGTTTCATCTATGTCTTTCTGAGGACAAAGTTTCAGAGAGCTATTTGAGCCACTAGCCAGTTTAAACTGTATTAAAAACAACTGTATTAAAAACACCTGTCTCCCTAACACAACAGTTAACTGGGATTTGCCGAATACAGAAAGTCAACAGTAAAATTTAAGCTATAAATTGTTGGATAGGCTCAGGATACCTACAAGTTTTTCCAGGAGAAAATGGTAATATGTAGTTTTATATGAAAAATATTATTTAACCATGGTGCTCTTGACAAAAATACACCAGTGTTACAAAGGTCAAAGATATTTTGGCAGTCAACTTCTAACAGAAGCATTTTTGCTCATTAAAGGGGAAACAGGGTGTTAAGTCACCTAGTTTACTTGTTAAATCATTGATAAGAGAAGCACCAACAGAACCACAATCCCATGGAAACTACAAACCATTTACATACATATAGTACAGTATAATGTATTTAATTCTAAAAGGAATTAAATAGGTGAGCAAAAGTGAGTTCCTCAGAGAAACAGCTAAAAGGTTTAATGATACATAATTTAACAGATAGAAACGTAAGAGGGAAAAATAATTCCCCACATTCTTGAGTGAGATTTAATATGGATGCAATCAAAATCTCCAGTTTTATTGCAAATTTCATTTTCAGATTAAATATGCTCACACAGAGAAGTTAGAAAATAAAAACCTATTGTAACCCCCAAAAATTGTTCATTCAGCACAAAAAGTGAAAGTTCTTCCAACACAACAATAAAAAAAATCCACTTGAAATCATCAAGATAACACTCATATTGTTTTTCTTTTGCCAGCTCTTCTGATTATTTTGTTCTTATACTGAAGGAAATTTTCTCCTTACCTGGATGGCTTTGGGAGCTCATTGCTAGCAATGTCTAGTCCTTTGGAAGGGATTTAAAATGGATCAGTTTCCACACAAGCAACAGCAGCCCTGCAGAGCTCCAATGCTTCACCAATACATAGACATACAGAGAAGGGGGATTAAATCATAAACACCAAATTAAATCCAGGGCAGAATAACATTCTGTTCTGTAAACAAAAGTAATCCAGTAGGATGGCAGAATATCTTCAAATGGTTTTCAGAATGTGAACCTGTAATTATAAGAAAAAGATTATATTAGAAAAGTAGGTTTCTTACAACTGCAGAAGTTAAACAATAAACACATTGTTTCTTTGGTATAATTTTTAAATTGAGGTACCATTTAAAGGTAAACATACATATGTTCCTGAAAAGAGAGACTTCAAAATGTGTAGAGGTGGTCTTTATTTAGAAGTTTTGTAATTACAGTACAGGAAAAATGCAAATAAATATGAACCATAGTAAGAAAGCCTCTCAATACACATATCTTAAACAAAAGTTTGTTTATTTTTTAATTATTCTGATATTTCAACAGTACTGCAGGAAACCACTTCATTTCCAATAGTTTCCATATTTCAACAGCCACACTCAGCCATATGTATGAGTAGTAACTGCTCTTCATCCATCTGTTCTCATTTGCCTCAACAGAAATCCAAAGAAAGATTTCTAAATGGCAGGTCATCATATTTCCCTATGCCAAGTTATGGGGAAAAATCTTCAGGCATGAAAAATAGGAACAACACAATAACAGCTAATGTTTTCTATAAAGGGGAAAGTAAAATTGGCGAAAAAATAATCAGCTGTTTTCAATCTTCTGCCAAGTCATACATTTGATGAAGACCTAGTATCTGATCTGGTATACCCTCTCAAAATGCAACTTTGCCCCCTGAATATATGGTGTAGCAAGTATGTCCAGTATAATCTTAAAATGCTCCACAGATGGTGCTTCTATCATACAGCTTGAAAGATTTCCACAGGGAGATCTTGCTGCGAGGAATTGAGTCCTCATATTTAGCCTGAGTTTTTCCTTTTCATATTTTATTTCTGTTTTATCCTATGTATCTATTTATCCTAGTTACAACCCATTGTATCACCCAAAGACATTCTCTTTCGTATTATACCCTTCAAGCATTTTTAGATAGCTGTCATTAGATACTCATACCTATGTAAAGAGCAGGCCTATTTTGTACGAGTACAAGACCTAATATGGATGCAGTTATACTGGTATAAAGGTGCCTTATATTGGTATAGCTTATTCCTCTTCCCATATAGGAACAAGATGTTCAGATATAAACATCTTTATATAGGTAAAACTATCTACATTAAGGAGGTTGTCTCACCTTACCTATACCTGTATAGTTAAAGTGGTTTAGATTATGTTTAGACAAACCCTTAAGACAACTAAACCTTCATTATTTTAATTTTTATGCACATGTATCAATCTCTTTAATCCCTGCAATCATTGTCATTTTGTTACTTCTTTTGATAACGAGGTGGCCAAAACTGAAGACGCTATTGCAAATAGTTCCTGCTCTATTAATGAACGTTCCTGCTTTGCAATATAATGCCTCAACACGTGTGCCCTAAAAGGCGGACCTTTACTGTTACATTGCATTAAAAGTCTCTAATTTGCTATTCATCTGCACCGGAGATGTCTCAATGTCAGCTCTTGCAAAGTTTCTATGCCTATTTTGAATGTGTTTTGGATTATTTTTCTTTTTATGAATTAGAGGACATGAAATACCTTGAAAAATGCAATTTCTGGCCCACACTCTAATCCAGTGGTACACATACCACTGAGGGTACACAGAGGTCTTCTGGAGGTACATCAACTCATCTAGGGGAGGGGAGGGATAACTCAGTGGGTTTGAGCATTGGCCGCTAAACCCAGGGTTGTGAGTGCAATCCTTGAGGGGGCCACTTAGGGATCTGGGGCAAAAATCAGTACTTGGTCCTGCTAGTGAAGGCAGGGGGCTGGACTCGATGACCTTTCAGGGTCCCTTCCAGTTCTATGCGATAGGTATAGGTATCTCTCTCTCTCTCTCTATTTATTTATTTATTTAAATCTGGACATTTGCCTAGTTCAGTGTTTCTCAACCTGGGGGTTGCGACCCCCAGAGGGTGTCACAGGATAGGTGGTGGGGGGGGGGTCACAAGTCCAGAGTCAGCATTTGGGTGTGGCAAACAGGGCAACTGCCTAGGGCCCCATACCACAGGGGCTCACGCAAAGCTAAGTTACATGTTTCAACCCTGGGCGGAGTGGCACGAGCTTCAGATGCACTGAAATGTAAGTACAATATTTATATTCCAATCATTTTATTTTATAAATTATATGGTAAAAATGAGAAAGTAAGCAATTTGTCAGTAATCGTGTGCTGTGACACTTTAGTATTTTTATGTCTAATTTAGTAAGCAAGTAGTTTTTAAGTGAGGTGAAACTTGGGGTACGCAAGACAAATCAGTCTCCTCAAAGGCATAGTCTGGATAGCTTGAGAACCACTGCTCTAATCTCTCCAGGTTTCTGTGATTGTTAGATTTCAAAATACCTTCCAGCTCAGCAAAATCTGCAAATTAAAAGAACACTGTCAGGTCAATTTAGACCCAACATTTAGGTTTCATAAGCACAAGATTTTACAAAAAGAATAAAAAATTTTGCATAATGTTTTAACTCAAATGACGACAGTTTTACATGCCGTATGTTTTGAAACCTATACACTGGGCTAGCCTAATGATACAGAAGAGCCAGAAAATGGAATTAGCAGGTTTTGTCTATTTCCACTGTCTAAATAACAATGAAATGCAGAATAGAAACAACGATAAAGAGTAAAAAATTTATTTTACTTCATCTTAAATGAGCTAAGGTTTACCTTAGTAAGGATTCTTTTAAAATGATGTTCACTCACTCTTCCAGAGTAACAAAGATATAGAAAAGACTAGACCAAATTTTGCTCAAGCACATGCTCAAGTGCTAACGGAATACCCCCTCCCGCCCCCAGTCTGATTTAGTGGACCCACAATTTCTAGGATCACACACTTGAGTCAGAACACACACACCTGCCCTGCCCCCCATTCCTCTGGTACCTCCCTTGTTTTCAAACATCTTTGAAACAGGAAGATATCAGAGGACTAGATGAACACCTGCTTCAGGCTAAGAGGTAAGTCCAACACAGTTCTACAGCAGGTCACACTAACAAACGTCCTTACTTGATAAATTACATCTTTACCTGCCAATCTAGTCTTTGTATCTTTTATTTTGAAAATATTAGCTGAATGGGATCCATTGAACACAAGAAATGCTGGTGACAATTTCCATGTTCCTGCTAATTAGAACCTTGAAGTTTAGTGCACTAATTATGGGGATCTGAGTACAGGAAAAATAAGATTTGACCTTTAAGATATATTCATCAATTCATTCATTTTTTATCTATATTTATTTTTTCTGTGACATGGTCACTTCAGGTTTGCAAATTGAGAAGTCAGTCAATTGAGATTACAAGCTCTAGGTAAGAAAATCATCAATAACTCATGCAGTCACTGACGTTGATAGCTCCATCTACCAAAATATAGTCACCTAGTTTTCCATACAATTATAGAACATTACCATCCCAGTCACAATTGTTTTACATCATTACTGTGACCATCTCCTTATGAAATCTAGTTGTGATCTTGAGATGTTACTTTTTCACCTCAGGTGAAGACCAGCTTTATCTTGCTTTGGGTCCATTATAGTTTTGTTTTCTTCATAAGTGCCCCTACAGTGTTACACATTCTTGTGGAAATTTTCACATTCAGCAGAAGTTTTACTGATTTAAAAAAAAAAAAACTTCTCTTGGGACACTGTAATGGGATATTCACCCCACACTTACTCAAAGGGTTCATGCAGATTGAGAAGGGGCTAATTAACCCAACAGGTCACTGTTGAGGGGAATCAGGTGGCCAAGCCCCTGACTGAGTGAGGGGGCCCAGCTGAGAAGGAAGGAGCTGGGTTAGGGCTAGAGAGTCAGGAAATTGGGAGCACAGCGGGAACTGCTGGGAAAGTCTGCCATCAGTCCCTGGGAGAAGGGAGGTGCATTTGGACTGACATACCTGGGGGGAGCCAGGAAGGGAGGACAGGGATGGCCAACCTTTGGCTCCGGAGCCACATTTGGCTCTTCAGAAGTTAACATGCGGCTCCTTGTACAGGGCTAGAGCTACAGGCGCCAACTTTCCAATGTGCTGGGGGCGGGGCTCACTGTTCAACCCCTGGCTCTGCTACAGGCCCTGCCCCCCCTACACCCCTTCTCACCACCTCCCCTGAGCCTGCAGTGCCCTCGTTCTCCCTGCTCACCCCCAGAGCCTCCTGCATGCCATGAAACAGCTGATCGGGAGGGAGTGGGAGGCGCTGATCAGTGGGGCTGCCCGTGGGCAGGAGGCACTGGGAGCAGGGGGGTGGGGGAGAGCTGATGGGGGGCTGCTGACATATTACTGTGGCTCTTTAGCAATGTACACTGGTAAATTCTGGCTCCTTCTCAGGCTCAGGTTGGCCACCCCTGGCTTAAGGAAAGGCAGTAAGATCTAGAAGGGAACTGACCTTGACTGCTAGCTAGAGGGTCCCTGAGCCAGAACCCAGAGTAGAGGGCAGGTCCGGGTTCTCTGCCAGCCACTGAGGGAGTGCCACTATGAGGAAGTAAATAGGAAGACTACCTGAGTCTATTTATGGGAAGAGACTTTCCAACCCCCAAAAGGGAAATCTTTGGTGACCTGCCTGGAGGGCCCAGTCATGAAAAGGCAGCAACAGGTCATGGAGCAAGAGAAGGGTCGCAGATGCAGAAAGGTAAAGAGACAGCATGCAACTGTGGGAGGAGGCATTGACCTGGACAGTTATTCCCCAGAACGGCCAGGAGGAAGTACCATCCTATCATTGAGTGGAGCACCAGTCACACACAGGCAGCTCATACAACATTACTTTTTTCATTTTTCCCAACCAGATACTACACAGTTGCTTTGGGTGTTTTGGATAGTTCAGATAGTTCGATTTATGCCAGACTGGCTATTTATTGGAAGTGCGATAGCGACTCAAGATCCCAATCAGAATTCCATTCCCCCCCAGGAGTGAACCTGTAGGTTGAGTGTAGACAATAGTAATACAAGCTTCAACCAGAGCGAGCAGGGTGATGGTAGACACAGGCCATGTTACTTCCAATATGCAGTGTTCCTGTAGCCATGTTGGTCCCAGGATTATAGAGAAAAAGTA